GTTCGAAGTGAGGGGACTATTTTGAGGGGGATTAATGGCAATGTGTCTCTTACTGTAATACATTTTTAAAATTTAAACATTCATTGTATTGTTTGAGCGCGCCTCCTAAGGTTGGTGGCGCCCGTGTAGGCATGTGTGGGGCCCACAGGGCCATGCAGCCTGGTGTCCTGTCTCTGCAGAGACAGACGAGTGCCAGGCGCAGCCCTGCAGAAATGGAGGTTCCTGCAAGGACCTCCCGGGGGCCTTTGTCTGCCAGTGCCCCGCGGGCTTTGCTGGAGTCCACTGTGAGACAGGTAGGGGCTGTGCTCGGGTGGGTTCCCCATCTGTCCAGGCCCTCACCCACACCCGTGACGCCCCAGACACCCCAGGCCATTCAGAGAGCAGGGGGAAGGGCAGTCCTGGGGCCCTTCTGGACAGGTCTCCTGTGGGAAGGACCCGGAGACGAGGGGCGAGGGGAGAGCCGGCGCCTGCCCAGGGTGCGGGGGTTCCCCCACGCCGCCCCCTGCCCGGTCTCTCCCCCCCTTCCCTTCTTCCCGCTGTCCTTTCCTCCCTCCCCCAGACTCCCCCCTGCCGCTCGGGCCCACTGTCTGGATGTTCTCCAGAGGTGGACGCCTGCCACTCCAGCCCCTGCCAGCACGGAGGCCGGTGTGAGAACGGCGGCGGGGCCTACCTGTGCGTCTGCCCAGAGGGCTTCTTCGGCTACCACTGTGAGACAGGTGGGGCGCAGCCCACATGCCCTGGCCCAGCCAAGCTCCCACACGGCACTTACCCCCCCAGGGGGCCCAACCGCACCCCTCGCAGACTCCAGCAGGCCTCGCAGCCCCCTGGCCCCACGTTCAGCCGCACGGCTCTGTCATCCCTGGGCACCAAGCTCACCGCAGCCCCAGGGCCCGGGCACCTGCCCTTCCGTACAACCTGGCCTACTCTGCCATGGTGGGGGCTCCTCAGGGAGCAGGTCCTAGCGGAAACGTCCCTCCTGACGAGGCCTCCCCTGACCTCTGACCTTCAGCAACTTGCACCCCAGCACCCTTCTCTCCCCTAAAACACTTCCAGCTCTCTGGGATTGTCTCGTCCGTACTTCCCCCACTTGCTGATAACGGGTCCCCTCCTAGAGCGGGTGCGTGTCCTGACCTGCCTGTTGGAGTGTCCCCAGCCCCAACGCTGGATCTGGCTGGCGGCTCTCAGCTTCTGGGCTCTGACCCCACCACAGGGCAGTAAAGGCTGCACTGGGGACAAGGTCTGTGACCCAGGACTGAGGACACAGGAGCCTGCCTGGGCACAAGCACAGTGGGGGCTGTCCGTGGCCAGGCCTGGGATGGGCAAGGGCCCGGGGGACAGAGTACAGTGGCTGTGACAATGATCGCTGGGTCCCTGTTTGCAAGTGTGTCCTGTGGCCATGCTGGGCCCTTGGGGTCCTGCCCTGGCCTGGGAGATCAGGTCCGCACCAGCACCCACTGCCCCACGGCCATGGGGGGGGGCCTGGCTGCCAGCTGCCCCCAGGAGGGGCCAGCGCTGTGCTCACCCCACCCCAAGTCCCTGCCAACCAGGGCTTGTTGGCTTGGGGTAGTGGCAGCATGGCTTGGCTCAGAGTCAGAAGGCTACACCTGCCTGGCCTCTCGGCGGGGCCCCTGGCAAGTTCTGCCTCCCCCTCCAAGAGTGTCCCTTGTCCCATTCCAAAAGCACTGTCTGTGAGGGTACCACCCACCACCACCCACAAAGACACCCACACAGGAACCACCCAGTGCCCCCAGGAGCAAGGGCCCAGCCAGAATGGAGGGCCTGGCGACACCCCAGAGCTCACTGCTGCTTTCCCCTCCCCCAGTGAGTGACCCCTGCTTCTCCAGCCCCTGTGGGAGCCGCGGCTACTGCCTGGCCAGCAATGGCTCCCACAGCTGCACCTGCAAAGTGGGCTACACGGGCAAGGACTGCGCCAAAGGTGAGGCATGCGGGCACCAGCACAGGGTGGGACCTCCCCTCCCCCTCAGAGGGGCACACGCCCCAGAGGGCAGGCCAGAGTGCCGAGCGGCACCCCCATGGCGGAGCGTCTAGGCAGTTGCTTACCCAGGCTCTGAAAAGCAGGGCGGGGCATATAAGCCCCAGGGGGCATAAATACAGTCCCATGTGCACACACATGACTCTCCAGAGGCATAAATGCAGTCATGTGTGCACACGTGACCCTCCAGGGGGCACTGGCCAGAGACCAAAATGAAGGAGTCCGTTGTAGGCGCCACAAGCAGGCTCCCTGCCAGCAGTGCCCACCTCTGCCCCGGGGTAGGCAGGCCCGAGAGCCTCCGAGCTGGATGTCTGCTTGGGGGCCGGGGCTTCTGTGGCCGACAGCTGACCACCCCACTTCCCTTGTTCTTGACCGAAACCCTGAAGAGCTCTTCCCACCAACGGCCCTCAAGGTGGAGCGAGTGGAGGAGAGTGGGGTGTCCATTTCCTGGCGCCCACCCGAAGGCCAGGCCGCCAGGCAGGTGGTGGACGGCTACGCAGTCACCTACGCCTCCTCTGACGGCTCGGCCCGCCGGACCGACTTCGTGGAGAGCAGCCGCTCCTCGCACCAGCTCCGGGCCCTGGCGGCTGGCAGGGCCTACAACATCTCCGTCTTCTCGGTCAAGCGTAATGCCAACAACAAGAATGACATCAGCAGGCCAGTGGCGCTGCTCACCCGCACCCGTGAGTGCCACCCCC